ATTATCCTGATGAAGGCGACAGTGGTCGCTGAAAATTTGATCCCTGTAAATAGTGTGTTGGAATAAAGTTTAACGTTTTACTAAGACATTCACTTCTTTGTGCTGTCAGTTTCTGAAACTAAATCAAGGTATAAAGAGTTTTTGAACACCTCAATTCTTGGTTGATAACTCTGATATTTGAAGACATGACTGTTTCTTGTTCTCTTCTGGGCTGGTATCGGATACTTAGTAGTTGGTACATTTATTAGTCCACCAGTTTATTAGTCATTTTGTACATCATTCACAGTCTGGACATTCTACGTCTGTCTTCCAGTGACCCCCACTGTAGGTTTCTTTTCATTTCTGTTACACTAGCACCCCTTTGATGGTTCGTAGTTCTGTACCCTTTCCAGTTTATCTTTGTCTTTCGTTGTATATGGAGTCTATAAACTAAGCCTGAAGTGGGGCACGCATGTTAACAACATCACTGCGATGTTGGTATGACCTGGCCAGAGTTTTGTGTTTTATCTACAATCATGCAAGGAGAGTTTCTAAAAGTCTCACTGCTGTCCTCTGGTCCGATGGGTTTGTCCATGATCCTGATCTGTCTCTCCTGGATGAACGGTTCCCCCTCCTCGTTCCCGATGTCGGCGGGAATCTCCTCCAACACGGCCTGCTCCTCCGCTTTCGTACGCGGGAAGTACAGTGGCATGATTCTCCTGTAGATGTCCTGAACAGAAAAAAAACAAACAAAAGTAAACAAGACTGGCAATGAAAATATACATTACCATGGCGATGGTGGTTGCTGTTAGGGTTATTGCCTTGGTACCCTCCCCTCCCCTGAGTGTATAGTGAACGAGCCCCGGCGTCACAGAAACTAGGATATCCATATAGACAGATTTTCCCGAGGGTTTCCAGGAATGTGGGCATGTCAACAAACAAAGTTGGGAGACATTTATGTGGACAAAATTCCTGTACAATTCCTAGAAATCTTGCAAACTGCACACAATACTGTACCATTAGGCTCCTCCCTGAGACATTGCCAAAAATAAAAACAACATGAAAGGTAACATTTCCAAAGCAAATACCTTTGCATATGGTCTGCTCTGTTAATTCTTACTCAAACACATTCATAATCATATATATGGTCAGACAGGAGTCTAAATCCTGCAAACAAAACGTTTCTAAAGTGTCCTTCCACCTGTTCATTTGGTCTAGTGCACTTGTCTATTATTTCCACTGTACGGATTCTCGACCTCTGACCTCCAACTAAGTTTACCCATTTTAATTAGTATTGTAAATATGATAACATATATGTTAATCTACAATGTATGTATAGTCATGTAGTCATGTCTGTCTGTGGCCCCCGCCATCAGCCCTGCTGCCAGGGTGGCCACTGTATTGTGAATGTCGCAATTTTCGAAAATAAAAAATAAATTCTTTCTCTGTATCATTCCTTTTTCCATCCCTCCTTCCTTCCTTCCGTTTCTCACCTCATCGTTGTCCGTCACGGCGAACACGACCGTCTCTAAGGAGGAGCTGAACTTCTCAAGGAACCTGCGAACCGTTCCTGGAGAAATGAAGAACAGGCCTGGGGTTTACTGGTTTTTATAGTGGTAGAGCTGTGCAGCCATTCTGAAAGTTTATGACATGTAGATGTGTAAATTACTGTAATTCCTGATTTTTTCACGGTACTGTTATGTTCACTGTTTTCACTGTCACTTCTGTACTGTGAAGTTAACAAATAATTCCTGGACTTTCTTTTCCTGCACCTGTCACCACCGTGAATAGTTCCGTGAACTTGTCTATTTTTCTCAGACCGTGAAATTTTGCTACTGTAAACATAAAGTGAATGTTCATCAGTTAAGTAGAGAACATAAGTTGACTATATGTGGTGAAGGTTAGACATCCAGGTAATAAGATGTGCTAAAAAACAGTTACTCAAGCAACTGGATATGATTTTGGAAACTGTCAGACGTTTCAGGTAGCATCCACTACCTTTCGTCAGTGACACTATAAAAGCAGATTTATAAGCACGAACTGTTGATTGATATGCAAATAGGTGAAGACAAATTTTGCCTAAGTCCAAAACGAAACAAAAGCTAGACAAGTGAAGACAAGGATGATGCAGATTAATCAAGTAGCTACCTGAAATGTAATGACTCTTCCAAAATCATAATTATCCAGTTGCTTAAGTAACTGTTTTTTGCTGTAAGTTAACTTGAGTTTTAAAAAAAGTCTTACTGAGTGCGATGTGAGCCCCCTCGTCTGGTGGGTATCCTCTCTTGGGCTGGTTCACGACACACAGGCCGATGGACTGCAGACTGTTTTCTCTGGAGAGAAGAGACAAACATCAGAGACTCTTTAGCACTAAAAACATTTCGAAATATCTTCTGTAGTACCAGAGAAAGCTGCTAGGAGGCCTACAATCAACCACCAACATACCAAGGAATAGTATTGTATAGATCCAACTATATCCAACGACAAGTTACGCAAGCCCACAAATCCAATAGGTTCTCTGCTAGCTCACATCATTCCACTGTTTAAATGGCAGTCTCTTCAGTTCTTCTACACCAACAGATTCTTTCCATGGACTGTAGTGTGTAAATACACCATTCCATGGAGTACACCATTCATAACATAAATAGATTTAAAGTACCTCGCTAGCTGTAGGCTGTTCCTATAACAGTTGAACAGCGCGCTCTCGGCAGCAGTTCGGTACTTGACGTTGTACCTGGGTCCCACCGTGTGGATGACGTACCTCGCCGGCAAGCCGTAGCCTTTCGTCATCTTCGCTTCTCCTGTCCTGCACGCTGGGAGGGCAAAAAAGTGTTTTTATTCTGAACACTCAAATGGACCGTCAAATCTTCCTGTGTTTTTTTTTGTTTTTTTTAATGATTTCAAAGGAAAAATCAGAGACAAATAGGAGTCAAGTCCCGCTGGTGATACAAAAATCAGTAAACCTTTTAAGGAAAAATCTTGGACCTTAAGATCAAAAGTGGACCTTTGAGCGTGTATGTGGGTTTTCTTCCAAACTCTCCCTGGCTACGAGCATGCTTAGGATTCTATATATCACTATGAAAATGTAGTCAGGATATCTAATGATTAACATGTTACGGTAAAGCTTACTTTTGAGATGGTTGGAGCACTCAGCTATGCTTACTTTTGAGATGGTTAGCTATGCTATACACTCAGCTATGCTTTTTTTTTACGGAGTGGTTCAATGCAAGGCCTATACTTCTCGGCATTGAACTAGAAATATGAGAGAAACATGGCTATGTCAAGAGATGGTGGTGAACGTTTGATTTGAAAGCCTGTAGATTGTAGGTTGGTGGGAAACACTTGTCAGGGAGGGAATTCCAAAGCTTGGCCGTACGGGGAAAGAAACTGTCAATGTAAAAAGATTTCGAACAAGGAATGCTTACTTTTAAGATGGTTGGAGCACTCAGCTATGCTTACTTTTCAGGTGGTTGGAGCACTCGGCGCGTAGGTCCGGCCCGGCGGCCTGGAAGATCCTCTCGCTGATCAGGTTCCTGTCCGTCAGCGTCTCGTTCGTCGTGTTCACGATCGCCGTGCAGTTCAAGGTCGTGATGTCACCCTCCCTGAAGGTCAGACAAGACAAAAAATGCAAAATCAGATATGATTTCCAACTTCTGGAAAGTATTGGACGGTCCTTCATGCAATTCCTAGCTTTCTGAATTCCCCCATGTCTAATTTATGCTGGAAAAAAGAAAAGAAACTGATCTCGATCCAGTTTTAGCTCACTGAAGAGCTAACGCTATGTACAGTATTTACAGGTTCAGTGTACCGGGGAAACTCCCCTAGCTCTTTTCGACAAGTACAATGAACAGTGGACCACAGCTTAACGTCCCGTCCTAAGGACTGTGATCCTAAACAGTAGCGTGCATGTCAGGTGAGCAACATCAGCTGGGATTCAATCTCCCAACCTCTAGGTCCAGAGGCAGGATCGCTAACCACTAGTCTATGTGTGCTCACTGCAAGAGCCATTTTCTGTATTTGAACTTTTGACAGTCTGTAATAGGAAACAAATATATACAAAACAAAAAAAGCCTCACCATAGCACGACTTTCCTGTTGAGTTCTTCGTTGACAGGAAACCTGGACGTCCTGTCCTCCGCGGGGGGGTCGGGGTAAGACGGGACGTAAGCGTTCGCCCACCGACACAACTCCCTCTCCTCAACTATGTTCAACCGAGCTCCCAACGGATCCATGCCTGATCTACAACAGTATAAGAGGGTAGAATTGTAACATCATAACATCAGATATACTTTAGACTAGATTTACAATTTCTATTGCTCAACACTTGCACAAGGTACAATGTATGGCAAACTACATTAAAGAAAATAACAAACAATAAAACAAATGTGTTGAATAAGACCTACATGTAATGTAGAATAAAACCTAACATATCCTAATTACTCAAACAATAAAGGATAGCACAAGTCTTTGATAAAGTGTTACAATTGAGTGGGCTAATCACAAGTTTCGGTATTGTTTTTTTTTACATAACTGTAGATCTATACTGTAGACTAGATTTTTTAAAGCCTTAAAATATCACACCTTGCAATTAGATTTTCAGCATGAGTTTGCAATTAAAGATTGAGTACCGGTACATGAAAATAGAGTTATAATTCAACTGTTGACGGTTATGGGACAAAATAGATTTTTATGGTTACGGGTGCATGGAATCTTGCAATTTATGTAAATCAAATTCTTGCAAATAATCATATATGTATCATTATGTTGACAATTATTATTGGCTGGGTACCCTGGCTGGTTAAGGAAGTAGGCTGTGGAAAAAAGTGAAATAATCTCGTGTTTATCACATGTTAATAAATTATGATCTCCATTGTGTAAAAAAATCACCGGAAACGTTATCTACTGTTCTGTGAAAAGATACTTCGATTGTAATGTAAATTGATCATGCTTTTGTGGCTGATTTTGTGGGTTATTTCCCAATCATCAGTGGTATCATTTGATTTGATTTGATTTGATTTTGAAGAAGAAAATATTTTTCTCCATGAACCTTGGAGCTCCAGGACTGGTGGACATGCTAGCGGCCTGGTCATCCCTGGGCTCAAAAGTGGACTCTTCCGGTAACTGGTTTGTTGCCATGGTAACCAACAAGGGTCGAGAATCCCGAATCTTTCACTTGTTTCACCTGTTTTGAATCTTAGGCCTAGGACAAAATGTTGTGTTTCCTGTTTCAGTCCTGAAAAAAAAGTAGGGTCGGCAGGTAGGGATGATCTTTTTCTTTTTTTTTTTAGACTTTGGTGATCTCTAGTGATCCAACTTTCTGACAATATAGTTTAACACAGTAAAACTTGCATGAGGACACTTTTATTTTCAATGTCAATGTTAGAAAACCAGTTGTACAATGTTTTATCAGTCAGGTGTCAGATCGTGGGGCTTGAAAAGGTTGATCAGCTCAAAAAATTAACTATTTATGCCCCTTGCAGGGTTCACACAAAAAAAGGGAAACAGGAAACACAACATCTTTTTTCCTAGGCCTAATTTGTGCACCTGTTGGTTAGAGCATATATAATACATGGAGGTTGTGTTTGTCTGTTTGTTTGTTTGTATGTCTGTAGTTGTTTGAGTACATGTACAATATATAGGGTCACAGGAAGTGTAGAGGGGGAAAATTAATGATGTAACCACAGACCAAGGACATTATACTGTGTATAATGTCCTTGCACAGACTGATGGCTGGTCGAATATTGCAGGTCAAAGATTATGGTCTCCCAACAGATTGGGGGAAATGCATGTTACAAATGTACAAACTATGGTGTAATAACAGTAGTCTTCATTATCTGGCTAAAACTTAAACAAAGTCACAACTCTAAAAATATGGTTATTAAGTACACAAATTATGCATCTTTTAAAAAAAATCTTCGCCCATCTTTTTGTAGTATTTTAGAACATGACCCCTCACATATCTACTGTACAGTCCCTGAAATATAACTCCTAACCCGGCCACTATACTAACACATGTTTTGAATAAAAGCACACTCTTCATCCTGCACTACTGAGAGTCGGACGTCCCTCTTTGTGTCTCTTATAAACATGTGACAATACAACATTCTGGCGACGAGGATGTACCTAGTGTATTCCTAGGATGTACCTACCAATCTAAAGGATGTGTAGGAGGAATGCAACTAGCAGAAACCTAGTGCCTGCATCGTCAAGTGTCTTCAAACAGTGAGTAGAAAACCTGTTTGTCAGCATGGCTAGTCCAAGCACCACCCCCACATTCCCGCCATTTCACCCCACGGAAGACGGTGGGGCAGTAGGGAAAAGGTGGAAGAAGTGGCTCAGTAGACTTGAAAATTATCTTGTGGCTATAGACATCCAAGATGAAGCAAGGAAGAAGGCAATGCTACTCCACTTCATGGGAGAGGAAACGCACACTATCTATGAAAACTTAGCCTCAGCCACACCGCCTGCACAGAACGCTGCAGCAGAAAATGAAGACGAGAACGAAGATCAGGCCGTAGCAGAGCCGACGTATGACGATGTGAAAAACACGCTATCAGAACATTTCGAACCACAGAAGAATCTTGTGTACGACACCTATACGTTTAGAAGCACAAAGCAAGAGTCACATGAAACTGTTGATCAGTACTGCACGAGGCTAAGGGGGTTAGCCAAGACCTGTGAGTTTCACAATGCAGACAGGGAGATCCTTATGCAAGTAATCTTAACTTGTAACAACAGCAAGCTACGTCGCAGAGCCCTTCAAAACAAAGACATCGAGTTAGATGGTCTACTGAAGTTGGCACGTTCTCTAGAAATCGCTGATAAGCAAGCTTTGGTAATCGAGAACACAAGCAAGTCTCACGCTGATGTAAACGTAGCCAGGAGAAGTCATCCAGGGAGGCCAAAGTATTCAGGTCAAACCAAGACCGCCCATCAATCAAGGGCGCCAGGAGCCAGGCCTAAGCAAGACAGGCCACAGACAAAAACCACATGTAGGAATTGTGGTGGGATCTTTCCTCATGGGCCCCAGGGCTGTCCTGCACGCAACCAGAAGTGCCTGTTCTGTTCGAAGCTAAACCATTTCGCTAAAGTGTGCAGGGCTAAGAGGGAGAGAAGGGTGCACAGGATAAAAGAAGAAGATGTCTCTAACTCAGATGATGAATACACATTCACGGTGGGGAACAACCCTGGCAGAAACAAGCTTCCATATAGAGAAGTGAAAGTGGGAGCAAACAAAGTAAACTTCCTGATAGATACCGGTGCAAGCATCAATGTCATCGGTGAAGAGACCCACCGGAAAGTAGGACGACCCAAGCTCACTCCGTGCCGTACCGTTATCAGGCCCTACGGAGGAGGCAAGCTGCCAGTCAAGGGAAAATTCCAAACAGTATTGGAAAGTGGCAGCAAGATAACAGTTGCGGATATATACGTAATCGAGGGCAAGAAAGCCAACAGTAACCTTCTGAGCTATCCAACAGCAGTGGATCTGATGCTTGTAGAATTCAAGCATTCTGTAAATGCCATAAAAGCAGATAAAGCTCAACAGTTGGAGCACGAATACCGAGATGTCTTCAACAATGGCATTGGCAAGCTCAAGAATACACAAATCAAGCTACACGTGGATGAGACGGTGTCACCGGTCAGACAGCCACACCGGCGCATACCATTCCATATGAGAAAGCAAGTAGAGAACGAGTTAAAAGAGCTGGAGAAGCAAGACATCATCGAACGAGTTGACGGTCCAACACCATGGGTATCTCCAATAGTAGTGGTGCCAAAACCAAAAACAAATTCGATCCGAATCTGCATCGACATGAGGGAAGCAAACAAGGCAATCCAAAGAGAACGACATGTGACGCCGACCATTGATGATCCTAAATCCACGACCTAAAACGGCGCCACACACTTCTCTCATCTGGACCTGCGTTCGGGATATCATCAACTCGAACTACACCCAGACAGCAGAAATGTCACAACATTTGCTACACATGTTGGACTCCGCCGATATAAGAGGTTAATCTTCGGGATCAATGCTGCCAGCGAGATATTCCAGAATACAATTGAGCAAGTCCTGGCAGGAATCAAGGGAGTCAGGAACATAAGTGATGACATCATCGTGTATGGCAAGGGCCAAGAAGCACATGATCGAGCACTCCACGACACACTTAAGCGTCTCCGTGAAACGGGACTTACCCTCAACCACGAGAAGTGTGAATTCAACAAGACAAGCCTCGAATTCTACGGTCACGTTTTTGGCAAATCAGGAATCTCAGCAGCGCCCAGCAAAGTCAAGGCAATTGTCGACTGCCCGGCACCAACAACACCCGGAGAGATCCGTAGTCTCTTAGGCATGACAAATTTCTTGTCAAGATTCATCCCTGAATATGCGGCAGTGATAAAACCACTACGAGACCTTACAAGATCCAACGTCCCATGGACCTGGGACGAAGAACAAGAGAAAGCGTTCTCCGAAGTGAAGAAACTCCTGAGTCAGGAGCGAAACCTGTCCTACTTTGACACAAACAAGACGACAGAACTACTCGTGGATGCCAGTCCGGCGGGACTCGGCGCAATCCTCTATCAAAAGGAGAAAGATGGATCAACCGCTATCATAGCGTACGCAAGCAAGTCTCTGACAGATGTGGAAACAAGATATAGCCAGACGGAGCGAGAGGCACTAGCAATCGCCTGGGGGATACAGCATTTCCATCTCTATCTGTATGGAACTACATTCAGAGTTATCACAGATCACATGCCCCTGACCTATATCTTCAACAAACCAATAGCGAAGCCACCACTGAGGATTGAGAGATGGTTGCTCAAACTGCAACAATACCACTTCGAGGTCATCTATCAGCCCGGAAGAGACAATCCGGCCGACTATATGTCAAGACATCCGCTACCAAGGTCAAAGGAACTTCATCACATTTGCACAGCTGAGGAATATGTGAACTACATTTCACAGCAGACAGCACCCAAGTCACTATCACTTGAAGAAATCAAGGAAGAAACGATGAAGGATCCTACGCTACAAACAGCGATACACCTACAGAGAAGCGGCAGATGGCATGACCACAAATCAGCAGAAAACTGCGACAAATCTATCGAGGTGATAGCGAAAGTACAAGGCGAACTGACCGTGAATCAAGACCAGGACCTACTCCTACGTGGAAACAGAATCATTATCCCAGCGACACTCCAAAGCCGAGTAATCGCGATAGCACACGAAGGACACCAAGGGATATCAAAGACAAAGGCACTACTGCGAGAAAAAGTATGGTTTCCTGGGATAGACGACAAAGTGAATGAAGCGCTAAAGGGATGCCTTGCATGTCAAGCAACGACAAAAACGCCAACTGCAGTACCGCTTCAGCCAACCGTTATGCCAGAACACCCGTGGTCAGAACTATGTGCAGATTTCTGGGGACCATTACCCAGCGGAGATTACCTCCTGGTAGTAATCGATGAACACTCAAGGTATCCAGTGGTGGAACACTTGAGGTCGACATCTGCACAGGCAGTCATCCCGGTGTTAGACAAGATCTTCGCCATGTTTGGTACCCCTGAAGTACTGAAGACGGACAACGGCCCGCCATGGACGAGTACTCAGATGAAGTCATTTGCTGACTACCTTGGATTCCACCATCGGAAAGTCACTCCATATTGGCCATGCGCCAATGGAACCGCCGAAAGGTTCATGAGAGTACTGGGGAAAACAGTAAAGGCAGCGGTGGTCGAAGGAAAGTCATGGAAACAAGAATTGCACAAGATGCTACGAAGTTATCGTGCAACTCCTCACACAACTACAAATCACCCTCCTGCAACACTGCTCTTCCAGCGAGCCATGAAAACCAGGCTACCAGAGCTGACACTGAAACAACCAGAAGTCAACAAGGAAGCAAAACAGAATGATCAGAAAGCAAAGGTGGAGATGAAGAAGTACACTGACAGAAAGAGAAGAGCGAAGGAAAACAACATCGACATAGGAGATACCGTCCTAGTGTCACAGAGAAAACAGAACAAGCTCACACCTCCATATGACCCCAAACCACACCGAGTGATTGGAAAGAAAAACACCATGATCACTGCGGAAAACAACGGCAGAAGAATAACGAGGAACGCAACATTCTTCAAGAAAATAAAGATCGAAGAAGAAGACAGCGAAGACGACTGCCTAGAAGAAAACAACACTGAAGAGAACAAAACTGAAGATCATGCAAACCGTAACCATCCGCAGACAACGGGAAATACCAGCAGTTATGTGACCAGATTCGGGAGAGCAGTCAAACCGCCGAAAAGACTCGACCTGTGATGTACATACCATGAACTATGTACTATGAACGTATGGACACTGTTCGGAAAAGGACTATGAGTATATGGATTGCATGCAAAACGGACTCTAGATAAAAAAGGATGCTTAACAACCTACTAACAAATTCTAATAGTTTGAAAGACTCTTGAGATGAACAAAAGAACAGTGTTGAAATGAACAAGAGAAAAAGGAACAGAGAAAGCACAAAATCTTGAGTAGATGTGAATCAAAGGAGAGCAAGATTTAAAATTTTGAACGGACTGTCAAATACATGGACACTAGTTTTAAGATTAGCTTTAAGAGTAAAAGTTAAAGTAAAGGAAATGGATTTCAAATCCAGTAGGGGAGGAATGTAGTATTTTAGAACATGACCCCTCACATATCTACTGTACAGTCCCTGAAATATAACTCCTAACCCGGCCACTATACTAACACATGTTTTGAATAAAAGCACACTCTTCATCCTGCACTACTGAGAGTCGGACGTCCCTCTTTGTGTCTCTTATAAACATGTGACAATACAACACTTTTCTTTTTCATTTTCCTCGCTCGCATCAGTTTTTGGGGTCCAGAGGATGTCATCCATACATGCAAGGCAAGGTAGTGTTGCCCGTCTTAAGTAATACATGTATGTGCGACTTTTTCTTGGGAAAACGTCATAAATTTACATTTCTGTTTAAACATTTCACTAAGTTACTAGTTGTTTTAAGTGGTTATTCGTGGCAAATATAATTTTGCCGAAGAGGCAAAGAAGTTTTCGTAGGAAAAAATTATATGGTAACGGTAGATGCATGCAATTTATCTTGGTAGAGTATTTACACCGAAAAATAGTCAAAATTCTCTAAATTTCATGATATCTGGCAAACTAAACGATCCTTCAACGCCCTAGAACCGACCACAGTCGCCAAAAACCAAAGCTGGGGCGTAAAAAGTGTGAAAATCCGGAGAAAAACTTACCTGTTCTGAACCATGCTATCGGGAGGCCGCCATGTTTCCTGGTCACATGACACTAAACCCTGTGATCGCGGGGTCGAAGGTCAACCTCAGTTTGTAAACAAGACCACGTGGTTTTTAAAAGGCATCCAGTGCAGTTTTTAGGGTTTGAAAACCCGATTTTTCACAGCCAATTTTCTAGTAATTTATCTACATGCTGCGTTAGCGGATAGTGAGTGAGTGTGAGTGAGTTGAAACCACACTGTCGCAATGTATATTGACCCACATGGAACAAAAATTCCCCAAATTCTGACAGAAAATGGCTCCTGGGCTGATTTTTAGGGTACCACCCAGAAAATAAAGGACTCATCTTGGGATTTGTTTCTGCAGTTTTAAAAGCCCAATGTATGAAATGCTGACTCAAATGTGCTGATGTGAAGCAGTATTTGTCAATATCACAAAGATTGCCTCATTCAGAATATTTCCAGTTTTGATGTTTTTAGTTTACAGTAACGCTTTACACTGTTTTACACTAGAGACTGTGGCAGCTAAATGATCAAAGTTTTAAAAGGAATCTAATCATATATACATACATCAAAGAATGTTTCAATCTTAGAGACCACATGTTATAGTTAATAGATAATAACATTATCCACACATGTATTTAGCTTTGTTACCTCCGGGGAAGGAGATATCCTTCCGCGAGGAGGTTTTACTATGGTTCGAAACATTTCTGTCAGCAGCTGTTTCTCGCGATCGGCTGGACGGATTTGTCTGTGGTTCAGTATACGTATTGCTATTGGGCTGCAGATGATGCATAACGTTTTTGTTTAATTGCATCTGTGTTTATGGGTGTCAAAATAAAAGGTTTTTAAGTGCTCCGGACACCCCCGCCATGCTGAATTTGGTAATTACCATGTTGTTAAGGAATGGGGCGGTTGCAGTTTTGGGTCTTAGCATTCAAAAGGGGTCAAACAGAGGGGTGTCTGGTTCCGATAAAAATTTTGGGTGACGGCGCAGCAATGACGGCGCAGCAATGACGGCGCGGGATGACGGCAGGGGTAATGACGCGGGTGACGGTGCAGGCTGTCAGACTGTGAGACACGTTAATCAACAGTCCATACCGAACCAACCGTCAGTAGCCATCAAACACATACAAACATATTACGCAGATAACTTTCATACTACACACAAACAAATAACTTAAACCAATAGAACACAAAAAAAACCGGAGGTTTGAAATCTACGATTTCCCTTGTTAGATCTTTAGTTAAGTTGTAGAAGACCATACAAAAGTCCAGGTACTTTCTGTTGTGTCAATAAAGAATCTCTTATCTCTATCTTATTAAAGAAACACATCAATATTAAAGCACCACCATCAAGTTTTGTGCATCAGCAGAAACAAAAACACCACATTGTCAGTTATGTCGAAAAGTTGTAAATAGACTGTCTTACAATGCACATAATTATTGCAGCATATTAAATTGTACGTATGTAAAAAGACAGCAAGAATTCTCATCATCATATCTTGTCGTGCCAGAGGTTTAGCCAGTCAAAAGCCTCCTTGTTAGCTTCATACAACGTTTCTTCTATCAGGCTGCAAATCTTGAAATGTAGTATTACAAAAAAATGTAGTAGTCAACTGGCTTATTTCCATTTCCACAAAAAGAAACAAACAATTAATCAAACTTGTTGGCAGCCGAAGGGCTGAATCATACAACTTGGTCAGTTCTAGAATTATACATTCACATGATATACAATAGACACTGGTTTGTTTAGAATTGATTAACATTAAATCTCATTATCATGCTATCTTCTTAGAATATATCATATCATATCATACATAATGATGTACATTTGTATTTAAAATATATTATCATATAGCCAGGTGGCATTGACCAATCAGAAGGCCCTGTTTCATATTGATGATGATGCCATGATGTCACAGTTAGCACGATACAAGTATTGCAAGTGTGCATTATTTCACAAGTGTGCCTTTGTTGCAGAATAATGCGCACCTGACCATTACGGGAGTAAACCATTATGCAGGGGGTGTGGATTTTTTGCTAATATTTGTAGCACGTTTCCTTGTTGAATAGAAATGGATACTACCCCCGTCAATTTGATACAGCCTTCTAAATTGGTGTGGCCCTTATTAGGCCACTACTCCATCTTGTGTAGCTTGAGCCAGATGCCGTTCCTTGCGCGGAGGACAATGCGTTCCTCGTAAAACGGCGGCGGTCCGTTCAGCTCCAGTCGGAAATTCTGCAGGATCAAGGCTACGGCAACCTTCATCTCAATCATGGCAAAGTGCTGCCCGATGCAGTTCCTGTGGGACAGATTTCATACCAAACATAATAAAAAACTAGATCTGGATTAGATACAATTTGGACTGGACAATGACTGGACTGGACAATTTGTACTTTTTGTTATCATCATTATTCATTAATGTTATTGGCTAGTTACTGTTTTTTCTTTATTATTATTGCCATTTTCATTATTTATTGTATCCCTATTTTACTGTTTGCATGTGACTGTTGTGTTTTGTTGTGTAAAACAGGGCCCCATTGAAAAGAAGTGCAATCACTTAATGGGCCACCCTGTATAAAATGACGGAAATAAATAAATAAATAAATAAAAAACTAGAAAGGTTTGCAAATGGATAATGTTTACCTTTGCATATGGTCTGCTATAAATTTTGATTCTTACTCAAATACATTAATATATATGGTGACAGGAGTCTAAATCCCTCCTGCCCTAAAATTGCAACATGATGTAATCCAACACCAGTCACCATGGTGACAGACGTCAACAAATCATGCCATTGGTCAGGTCACTGTTAGGAGGAGAAGAAGAGGAAGAAACTGAGCAAACACAATATGTTTTCCTTCGGTAAACATTATAACTAACCTGGGTCCAGCTGAGAATGGTATGAAGGCGTGAGAATGTCTGTCCCTGGAGTTCTCGGGAGAGAAACGGAGAGGGTCGAACACCTGCAGACAGAACAAACACCTGTAAAAACTATTCCCACATGGTACACTGAAAAGGTGATAATCATCAAAAAGTGATGATATTGTACATACAATATTTGAAATAAAAAGTTTCTCATTACATGTATTTTCATATCAATCAATAGTTTGTGCTTATAAACCTGCATTTCTCCTCTGGTCTCTCAGTCACTGACGAAAGCTAGTGGATACAAAATCATATCTAGTTGCTTGAGTAACTGCTTTTTGGCGTTAAAACCTTGTTTCTCACCTCTGGATCCTCCCAGACCAGAGGGTTCTGGTGGGTAGCCATGATGCCAGCAAAGGCTTGGAAACCTGTGTTTAAGTGTTTAACATATTAAAAAACTGGTGTTCAAAACCTGCAAACATGCCTGTCCTTGGTGCTGAACGCCATCCTCATCCAATTAAAAATCACATCATGATACATTATAGAATAGAATCCTCGTGTTCAGAATAATCTCAAATAAACTATTTAATACAAACATGTTTACGACGCGAGACGCGACAGTGTTACAGTTTCAAATGGCTCAAAGTCAAGACAAACATGCCTGTCCTTGGTGCTGAACACCATCTTTATCTAACATACCAATTCATGTGTTTTATATAAGTACCAATGACACTCTTTCAAAGTCCATTTCCTTTGGTATTGATGATCAACAATCTGTATGAAGTAGACTCAGTGTGTATTGCCCTGGGGAAGGTAAGTAGGACTAATAAAATGTTATCTTGGTTGTATGCGAGTAGCTTTCTTAACTAGGTTAACCTTCTCCCTGCTGCCTAACCTTGTAACAAATGGCTAAGTGTCACTCACTCACTCACTGTCCGGTTTATCGTCTGTTGTTCCCCGTCTACCGAGAGTTAGACATACTGAGGCTTGATGGCAGCATGTCACTTGTCTCTGTCCTGTGGGTTGATGTTATCCAAGTTCAGGTGGTGGAGGTCCTCCCGTATGTTGTTGTACCATTTCCTTCTAGGGCGGCCACGCCAAAGATTAACTAATGGCTAACTCAGTGTGCTAAAATGTAAGTTACCTGGAGAAATTTTCCTCCCGTCAGGTAAGACCAGATTCTGTGTGAGAGTTCTGGAGACACCAGGCACGGGCGGTCTCAGTCTCAAGCTCTCCTTAATACACATGGTGGTGAAGGGCAGCTGACTCATGTCTTCCCTGGACACAAGGCACAAAAACTGGGTCTTAAAGACATGATTGTAAGGAATTTCTGTGTTTGTGTCTCAAAACTCAGAAACATTTTCATTAGGTATTGTGAGACTCTTAAATATCTGATAGTCAGACCAAAAAGTATTGTATTTGCCAAAACAAACAGACAAGAAAAAAAAAGTTGTCACTGATGATTAAATTATTTGTCGATGAAGGTTAGACATCCAGGTAATACTACTACTGTCGTCAGTCTCAAAACACTATGACTTTGCTGCGCAAACAAAACAGGATGGTTCAGTTCTTAAAATACAAAAATGATGTCCAAAGTCCAAGTTTAAGTTCGTTGTTCATGTCCAGATAATAAGACACTGACGAAACGTAGTGGATGCTACCTGAAACATTTGACCATTTCCAAAATCAAGTCCAGTTGCTTGAGTAACTGTAAATTTGTGATCTAAGTCATTGTGTTTCATGAAACTGAACCTTCTCACCAGGTCATGGTTGTGCGTCCGTGCAGCAGCGCCCCCACCTCCCTCCTGCACCTGTCCTGGTACTGCAGGTGTTTGGCCAGGTGGTACAGGGTCCAGGAGATCCCGCTGGCCGTCGTGTCGTGACCCTCGAACAGGAACGTGTCCACCTCGTCTCGGATCTCCGCGTCCGTCAGGCCTGTACCATCCTCGTCCTGCAATATAAGAACATTGATATTCAGGTACAGGACGGGCAATTCAAACTAGATAAATGCAGAGATTACCTAGCGGACCAACTCCCCCGGCATGTTATCTCTATATTTGGCCATTTTCTACTCTTTCCAGCCACCTCCTGAAGCCTGGTAGAGGCTACCAATTTCTACTCTTTCCAGCCGCTTCCCAAAGCCTGGTAGAGGCTACAAATTTCTACTCTTTCCAACCACCTCCCGAAGCCTGGTAGAGGCTGACTTACCCTGGCTTCAAGAAGTATGTCCAAGAAGTCGAGACACTTTCCCTTTCGTCTCCTTGGCAGGTCAGACTCCTTGGCCTCCGCGAGTTGCGCTTTCCTCTCTCTGATGACGTTCTCAGAGAAGTTGTGAACCACATCGCAGGCTTTATAAAACCTGGAGAAGAAAAAGAATGGAGATTTGTAACCTTGAGAAATGTCTCTGATGCTAAACATCAAGCTCATACAAACAGCCCTGTCCTTGGTGCTGAACACCATCCTCATCCAAATATACTAATTCTAGTACTGCTCATGTACAGTGAGTTAGGAAACCTGTGTTTAAGTGTTAAACACATGTATGCACATATATATGCGTGAAAAAAACTGTTTCTGATCACTCAAAATCTAATTACATACAAACAAGCCTGTCCTTGGTGCTGAACACCATCCTCATACAAACACACTGATTCTAGTTCTGCTTATGTACAGTGAGTTAGGGAATCTGTCTTGAAGTGTTAAACACATGTATGCACATATATGTGTAAAAAAACTGTCTCTGATCACTGAAGATCTAATTACATACAAACAGGCCTGTCCTTGGTGCTGAACACCATCCTCAGCCAAATACACTGATTCAATAGTGTTGCTCATGTACAGGGAGTACCAATGGCATTTTTTCAATGTTCATTACACAGACCTGCGGCCACTGGGGCTGAGAGAGTAGATGATGTCGCTGTGAAACGGCACGAAGCGGACGCGCTCCACGAACAGACGCGAGATGTCGTACACGGCCCGGATGTAAGGGCTCGGCTCATTGGCTGTCTGGCAGTTGCTATGGTAACTAAGGCTGCACTTGAGGATGCTGTCCAGCGTCATCAGGCTGAGGTGGTCAAACATCTCCACGGTACACCCGGGGCCGAGACTAGTCCACTTGTCCTGAGGAAAAAGAGGAAAAAAGCTGGTGTGTTTATAATAATACGTCAAAGGGCCGTTACGCCGGCTATACACATACAGAAGCTGGTGTGTTACGCCAAAGGGTGGTTGTACCGGCTATACAGATACAGAAGCTGGTGTGTTACACCGAAGGGCGGTTATACCGGCTATACAGATACAGAAGCTGGTGTGTTACACCGAAGGGCGGTTATACCGGCTATACAGATACAGAAGCTGGTGTGTTACGTCAAGGGGCGGTTATACTGGCTATACAGATACAGAAGCTGGTGTGTTACACCGAAGGGCGGTTATACCGGCTATACAGATACAGAAGCTGGTGTGTTACGTCAAGGGGCGGTTATACTGGCTATACAGATACAGAAGCTGGTGTGTTACGTCAAGGGGCGGTTATACTGGCTTTACAGATACAGAAGACTTACAATCAGCACGTTAGTAGACTCAGAGAACAGAGTGACGTAGGGCTTCAGGATTTCGAAGTGGAAGGCAGGAGTCAGAAGTCGCCGGTTCCGGTGCCACTTACTGCCATGGCTCAGCAGCAAACCATCACCTGATGAGGGGCAATCAGTACAGAAACATGGCTAATATATACAATTATTATTATAAGACGATATGTAAGTACAATTTAGATGTCAGTGAGTTTTCAGTTCTATTAAGCATTTTTATCAGATGAAGTTTGCAAACGAGGAAAGTCGTATTGAATTCTAGCTGAAATATATCCACATGAATGCTATAAAATTCTATAGCTGATCACCCTATAACACACTTACATTGTCTATGGTGTAATGAAATGTATCACTCACCGATCATTGGTTTTAAAAAGCCATAGAAGAGCTCGTCCTTGGGCTCTGTGGGAGGAGATGTAGAAAAGAAGTAACGTCATGGTTCACATCTCAATTTCATAAAGTTTCTTTCCTTAATTGTATTGCAATTAAGTACTACCGGTATGTAGTGCACTTAATATCCGGCCAGCCAGCCAGCCAGTAGTTTACTGTATTTTGAGTTACCACCTCAGTTCACTGTATTTTGAGTTACCACTATAATTTATTCTGACCTCCGACCTCTCCCTCTCTGGCTTGAGTTGCATTATCATTTTGTTTAATCAAGAGATTTTGTTGTTAATTTGTTTCATAGTTGACTACATTAACTGATTGTTAATTTGATTCGAACTTAAGTTACCTTATGTTACTTTTATAATGTCAGTGATCACTCTGATTCGAACTCAGTTTATGTTACTTAATTATGTTGATTATTTTAAATTATTCAATTTATGTTAATATTGAGTTGAATTCTGTACATTTCTGTTGTTATAATTTTGAATTTTATGTGGACTCCAGGAAGAATAGTGGTCAGTTGAACACTAATGGAGATCTAATAAAAACAAACAAACAAACAAACAAACTACACAATCAATTCATTCAACAGTCAGTCAATCAATCAATCAATCAATCAATCAATCAATCAATCAATCAATTTATCTATCACTAAATCAATATCAACTGATCAATCAATGACACCTATCCTGCGTATGAAAGTTCATCTGTGTTGGTACAAGTCATTATAAAGAAAAGACTATTTAAACCTTATCTCCAATTTATTCTTAGTATTCAACAGTTCAGTTCAGTTCAGTTCATCCTTCAGGTGACACCATGTACTGTCTCCACAAGTTCCTGTCAGGCATGACAGAGGACAGAGTATTCAACAGATAAGTTTAGTGGTTTCTTCCTACCTACCGTGTGTACTGAGGATGGACCTGCATGTATCGGGGTGGATGAGGATGTAGAGGGGGAGAAACGGTCCGACACACACCAATTAATTTACCAATCGATTTTCTATATCAATAAATCAATTCATTGATTGATTGGTTAGTTGATTGATCCATACCACCTACCGTGTGTACTGAGGATGGACCTGCATGTATCGGGGTGGATGAGGATGTAGAGAGGGAGGAATGGTCCCACCCACAGCTGCAGGACATAGTTACTGAAGTCACTCATCATCTGTTTTAGTACAGGCCAACCACTCTCATCTGGCAGGAGCTGTGAACATACAACGATATACAGTAGTTATAAAACTGGTCTTCCTCAGTAGACTGACCCAGTGAAGCTTGTCATGTGGCTTCTTTGAAGTGACGTCAACACTGGGTTTTTGCATCAGTCCCTTCACTCAACTGTGACAGGGGCTGACATCGTCTACTAGATACCTTTGACCCATTGTTGACGTCACACTTCAAAGAAACCACTTCAAAACTTGCCCAAGTGACCACTTCTATAAGCCGGCCATCTGACCATGACCACAGCTGCAGGACATAGTTACTGAAGTCTGCCATCATCTGTTTCAGTACAGGCCAACCACTCTCATCTGGCAAGAGCTGGTATAGGACCATACAACGATACTGAGTCAAACTTGCAAGCGACCACTTCTATAAGCTGGCCATCTGGCCATAACCACAAGGAAACCACATTGGAAAAGGATTAGAAAAGATGCTTTTGCTCAGTTTCTTCTGCCTCTTCTTCTCCAAACACATTAAGTCAATGACCTGGACCTGAGACAGCTGTCCACATCCTAACTGGTGCTGTAGATTGTACATTTGTAGTAGTTTGTTGGGCTAGACCATGTGAAGGTTAACATCATGCATTTGCTTTGCAAATGTTACAATTCTAGCTTGTACTAATGTATAATCTTTTTTAGCCCAACCAAACCTGGATAGAATGTTGCACACTGATAAAACAAAACGACAGATGCTTGTTACAAGTCCTACCTGTTTCAGGTGTCCGTACAGCCAGTGACTCGGGGGTGACACAAACTGTCTGGTCGTGCGTCTCTGGCTGATCTGAGAAATCACAAATTTCACCAGCTTCACAGACACGAGGAGGGCCACAGGGAGAAACACCCAGGCCCAGGTAGCCATGTCTGTGGTCTGGTACACCTGGTCAGGTGGGTTCACAGGTGTGTCAGGTATGTCTTGGGATGACACCTGGGTAGTACAATATGGAACATATTAGTTATAAAGGGGGGTTCCGGCTCAGCCTACTAGTACCATCTGTAAGATCTGAAAGGTATAGGAACAGTGCTATTCCATGCGACGACTTTTGTCTTCTCTCTTAGACTCTGTTGTCGTGCCCCTACCTCTTGGTAGTAATCCAATAACGTGACTCCAAGCTGGAATACTTGAATCGGCTTGGTTTATTCTCTAGTCACGAACTCAGACCTTCTGTCTGGCTCGTCTCTTCTTGTCGTCTGACGCTACGCATGCGTGTTATTCTTTATGTTAAGTAAGCTGCTTAAACATTACCACATGTTACATTCCATACCTGTCAAAACTCTTAAACAGTGCTTAGTCTACCGTGTAATCACCCAACTACCAATTGTATATATTGTTGTTGGTTAGTTTGGTTAAGTTTGTAAATATTACTGATATTTTGTGTGTTCCCTAAAACTAGGCAATTCAGCTTCTTGTACAATACTTTGTATTATTAGGCTGCATTGTTGTTTTAGTTTTATGTCAATTTGCAAATAAACCATTTATATATTATACAATTATGAATGAAAGGAATGTATGAAAGACCTTTAACATTATTGTACCTTATGCTCTTACAGGCCAAGTTCAGGTCCTGAATAAAGCGGAACTAACAAAATTACAGCAATGTCTCATCAAAAGTTTAAACTATATAGTTACATAACATTAGTAATGTTAGCTACTATGTGCATGTTTAACTTCTCACTTCTTAAGACAATTGTTGATAACTTAGTTATATGAGCATATAACTAGAGCTAATGATATAAGGCTTGTCCAGTTTCATAAGGAATAAGAATTTTTCTGTACATAAGTTAACGTAACATGTGAAAATTAGCAATATAGAGAATGAATACTACAGTAATCTCCAAGCAGATCCTACAGTAGCCGTGGCGACTATTGATTCGGGCTTACATTGCATTACCCTCAGCAATATTGCTGAGGGTAATGCAATGTAAGCCCGAATCAATAGTCGCCACGGCTAATCCTACAGCAGATCCTACCGAGACGAAAGATCTACTCTACTCTACTCTACTCAGTGAAGAGGCTGTATTATAAACCATTGGCCAAAGGAGTCATCCTTGATTGTGAATCATGAAAATGATAAAATGTCCTTCAATTGCATTACCTGACAAAAAGTACAAAACTTTAACCCAGGCCACGGCCCAGCCCCCTCCGCTACAAGAACACACCGCCGTCCCCACAGCTAGATGACCTTTAGTGCGGCAACCTTAATGGACGAGTCCATCAGGACAGTAGGGGGGTAGATTTGTGATTTTCAATTCGCTTTTTTTCTTTGCTTGTGTTACTTTTAATAGTGTCTGGAAAAAAACAACTAAATCTAAAACGATTTTTTAGCACGATAAAAAGAAACATGATATTTTGGCTATTCTTGGTTCAAACTTTTCACGTCTTTGACCTTGAAAAGTAGGCGTGGCACCCCAGATCAGTATAAATTTTCATTTTATAAGTTAAAGAAGCTTACAAAACTGTTTAGAAACGGGTAGAACAGTATTTTCGATGCTAATTTAAGGGAGCAAAACACGACAAACTTCTTTTGACTTTTAAAAAAGTTTCGTATATTTCTTTTTTGGCGCGAACGGCCAGGTGCTATCCCAGAAGCCTCTGGGTCAAGTTGATAAACAAGGAGAACCAAGATGGCGGAGTCCCAACCAGAAGAAGAGACAAAGCGAAAAGAACAGAAGTGTACATGTCACTACGGCTGCTGCATCTGCAGCGAAAAACATCGTGTCATCGCCATCATGAGGAGCAAGAGGTTCAGGGACAAGTTCGGCAGCTTGGTGGACTTGGCCTTGACAGAAGATGACGACTTTACGCCAGGTAAAATTATCCGTCGACGTGGCGTTTCTAAAACTAAACTTTCACACATCGCTGGGCGTTTTGTATGTACCTTGATACCGCATATACGACCTGTAAATCTCGTTGTACTACGAATTATAGCTGTTTGGTTAGTGTGTTTACGACTATATTCATGTAGCACATAATTTGTTTATATCTGTAATAATAACTTTATGGAATTTGGTATGATAGAAAACACTTACTTTGCGGTGAAGTGAGGTGTAAACTTTGACTTGAGAGGTAAGGTGAGAAAAGAGACCGTGTGGGAGGGCCTCGGGGCAAAAGTCATTTGCATGTTGTTTGCTGGTCACAAGGTGTGGGTGTGGCACTGGGACACTGTAACACGTTTAATTTATACAAGATATGTATGAAAATGTCAAAGCAGGACATGTTTAACTTAAACACTTGATGTCATGCAAGATTGTATAGCAGACAAACTATGTAATTATGTTTCCAGATGTTTCAAAAAGAGAGAAGAAAGGACAACTAACAGTAGATGATATGTAGTATTTAGTGTTGTTTTAATATATAGACTCCTAACACTTAGCATTAGACTATAGTGTTCCGAACTTCCAGTATGCAATACTCATGTTTTTTTATCCTCTCAACCACATGTTATTTGATATGACCCCTGGCCTATGAGGGTCAGTTGTCGTGTATGTTTACCTTTGCAGAAGGAAAACATAAATAAATAGTTTTTGCTCTGTTTCCTCTTCTTCTTCCGTTCCAAACACATAAGCTCAATGATCTGGACCAGATGTCTGTCACCATGGTAACCAGGTGCTGCAGATACCATATGGTGTTGGGTTACATTACGTTGAAAGTTGCAGACCTGGACTTAAATGTTACCATAGTCCATAGGCCAGTATACATACATGAATGTGTTTGAGTAAGAATAAACAGAGCAGTAGTTTGTTAGGCTAACTAGACCAAACTTTGTGAAGGTAAATATTGTAAATTTGCTTTGCAAATGTTACCTATTTGAAATTCAAAATTGTACAACAAGTTTTCTCCTCCTTGTTACAGACAGGTCGAATGAGGCTGTTGCAAAGATGGAGTCTACTGATGATGATGATGATGATAATGATGATAACGATGATGATAATGATGATGTTGATAATGATGATGATGATATGATGATGTTACAGACCGGTCGAATGAAGCTGTTGCAAAGATGGAGTCGGAGGCGTACATCATGTGTGTGTATAAGCAGAAGATCCCCCACTACCCCCCCATCTCAGACATGGAACAACCCATGCCCAAACGCCACATCGACGTCTACAGGGAGATCCACAAGGACAAGTTCAGTCTTAAAGAGTTCTATAGGTGAGAATTATATGGCAAGAGATCAGGGCTCAAAATACTGTTTTTCTGCATACAGGGCTTGAAATTCATTTTTGGGAATAGGTGCACTGGCCATGGTGCACCCAACCTAAAAAATGGGTCCACAAAATTTTTTTTGGGTGCACCATATAAGATGATAATAGATAATAAGCAGAATGCCATGCAAAAACTTAATTATATATGTAAAGAATTCTAAAGAAAAGTACTATAATAATGATTAATCTATTTTTCTGGCACTTAGATGTCAAGATTATGCTGTATACTAGTATATATTTAACATCTTTACACACGAAAACCTATGAAAATATTTGGATGCACTGGTGCAACCACAGAAAAACATTGGGTGCACAGCTTAGGGATTTTACACAGATGTAATAAGTACTGCACAATTCAGCCTACAGGCTTCAGTGTTTCACAAATAAACCATTAATTCCTTCCTACAGCCTGTCGAGTGAAGATCTGAAGAAGCTTGACACGACGGTGTGGACGGAGCGTGAGAGATACGTGAAGCGGTGTGAGGAGAACTACATCGCAGGTATGCTGGGGGCGACACACCAGGGACCGGAGCGCCGGCGGGAACTCTACTCCATCGCGGTCGGCGTTATGCTCGACTACGTCCTCGAGGAGGCAGAGAACAAGAAGGTCTGTTTAGAGTTAAAACTTTTGATCCGACACAAAAAATCCTCTGACCTAGAGCTTTTGACCAGTCACTCTGGCCTTCCTCAGTAGACTGACCCAGTGAAGCTTGTCACGTGGCTTCTTTAAAGTGTGACGTCAACACTGGGTCAAAGGTATCTGGTAGACGATGTCGGCCCCCGTCGCGGTTAAGTGAAGGGTAATGATGATGGAGGGTGAACTCTTAACATGTAACTACCAACACAGATGAACTTTCATGATAATCTGTTTATTGTTGATTTGGTGATGTAAGAATGTCTTTCCATATGTATACTTTTTCTGTGCCATGATGTAGTTATGTCATTTCATTTGTATGTGTTTGAGCCTTGGTAAAAGGTTTCATAAATGATGAAACAAATGTTAAAACAGTATTTTACCCCTTTAGGCTAACCCGCTGTCCAGCCTGAACTGTCCTGTCCACGCCTTACGAGCGATGACTCCGTTCTTTGAGCGACTGACGGAAGCGGGGATGGACCGGATCCTGCGGATGGTGGAGCTGGACAAACGGGACATGGGGATCCAGCGGGAAGTCTGCACGCTCTGTCTCTGCTACATCAACCACCCCAAAGTCAGTATTTCAGTTTCAGTTTATTTCGCACTTCTAAAACAAAATGTAACAATACAGATACAAGAAAATATAAATAAAATGTAAAAGTGCAGGGAGGCCGGAAGCATAAAATGCTTATGAGGAGGCCTCCCTTCATAACGTGATTAACAATTCAAATAAATCGGATAAATAAGAAATAACTTAGGTAACGGGTAAATGAAACAAAACAATAAAATACAATACGATACAATACTATTGGTTCAACTGTTTTTATATTGCATTATTGTACTTTTAACGTGTTGTAATTTTTTTGTCATGCTGGCTGTGTATATGTGATGTTCCCACTGAATCAAAACCATGTGTACAATGATTGAGTCAAAATTTGAAAATGTAGGACACTTCTTTTTTTGGACCCGCCTTGTTTTTTTTTCGCTGCCTGCATTAGATTTGGAGTCTGCGGAGGATGTCATCCATAAAATTTACATGCTGTGGCCTAATAAACCAGTTTCTCTCTCTCTCCTAAGGCCGGCATGGTCCTCGCAGAGGCGCTGGGAAAAATCCTGCTGAACTGTGAGGAGGAGGATTTTCCGTTCTACGGCTCGCTCATGAAGGAGATTTTCTGTTACGTGTGTCCGATCCCCGGCGTGCACATGTACGTGGACCCGGACATCTTCAGCACGCTGATCAAATATCACTGCATCGCTCTGCTTCTCTCCTCAAGCAAGATGGTGAACAGGGAGATCGTGGACAATCTGAAAATCGCGCGAGCGTTCGACAGCGTGCCGATCGCGGAAAAAGCCTTTTTGTCTAACAGGGTGGAAGTGGACTCGTTATACGAACCAAATTTTATCATCTTCATGACTGATGTTGGTTACCCGGTTTTACCGGGCGACGCGCGATTGAAAAGGCTGATGGACATGCACGAGGAGTTTAATAAAGAGTGTCTGAAACTGGGCATGGAAAAGGACATGATGGTGGAAAATGATCAACATTACAAGAAGAGGATCTCTAAAGAACTGAAGAGGTGGAAAAAAGTGTCCCAGGAAGACCCGGAGTTGGTGGAACGGAAGAAGGACATGGATCTGCTGGCAGACTGCTTAACCAGATCAGTTGGTAAGTTTTTATGGTTCTGATAAATTTTTGATGATTGCCATATGACCTTGCTTAAAGTTAAAACTTTTGATCCAACACAAAAAACTTATCCTCAGTAGACTGACCCAGTGAGGCTTGTCATGTGGCTTCTTTGAAGTGTGACGTCAACACTGGGTCAAAGGTATCTGGTAGACGTGAAGTGTTGACGTCACACTTCAAAGAAGCCACGTGACAAGCTTCACTGGGTCAGTCTACTGAGGAAGACCAGAGTGACTGGTCGAAAGCTCTAGGTGGGACAACTTTTTTGTGTTGGATCTAAAGTTTGAACTCTAAACATGTAACTACAAAATGTACCAGCACAGATGAACTTTCATGATAGTAAAATTTGTATCTGTTTCAGAAACGTGGATCTGGGACTGGGGTGAAGGTGGCATCACCAGTAAGTTCATGACCGTCCCGGAGAAGCCGTACCGCTTCGCCGAGGGACTGATGCCCGAGCTCGCCGAACTCGTGGAGAAAAACAACCCCAAACCCATCGACCCGGAGATGGTCAAAGACTTGTTAGAGCGGACCAAACACCGGGCTCCAAAAGTAGTGGCCGCACAGCTGCTGGCTCAGGCCCAAGCACAGGCACAAAAAACTACTACTACTAGTACTACTACTACTAGTACTAGTACGAGTACCAAACCAGAAAAAGACAAGGCAAAGAAAAGTACAAAATCAGAGTCTGCGAAAAACAAGGCGAAAAAGACTGAACCTGAAGCTGTGAAATCAAAAAGTACTGTAAAACCGGAACCGGAAAAAAGCAAGTCTAAAAGTACGAAACAAGGAACAGCGGGAAAAACGAAGGCAGAAAAATCTGCTGGAAAATCAGCATCTTCAAAAGCAACAAGTGATCAAGATAGTTCTTCTCCCTCACCCACACAGGTAAGAGTTGTCTTTTTGTGAGCAAGGATGCCCCTAGATAGAGAGAAAACTGTAACTTGTACCCAGACAAAGGCAGTAGTTGATTAAAGAGACTCTTTTTCCACAACCAAGTGACTGTCTTTTATTCATCCGACGTTTCGGTGACTGTCTGTCACCTTCCTCAGGGCAATTTTGACTGGTTCGTATTGAATTGCCATGAGGACGGTGACATACGGTCACCGAAACGTCGGCTGAATAAAAGACTTGGTTGTGTGAAAAGAGTCTCTTTACTCTGTCTTACCAACCTGATGAAACTATTCATGGATGAAAGGCAGTAGTTGTTTTGAATTGTTCAACTTATTACTCCTATGTTTGATTTTACAGCACGATAACTAGACTTGTTGTGGTTCTTTCTTGTTCATTGCTGAGCTGCTGTGATGTTTCAGTGTCAGTTTATTTCGCACTTTAACCCTTGTCCTGCTGGCAATTTTTACATAATATTTTCAAATAATTTCATGTCTTAATCAGGTCACAGACCCTTGACTTTTTTTGCCCTGCGGCGGCGTAGTTACTTCCGCATTCGTTGCGTTTCGCTGCGGTGTGATGCGTTGCACGAGAAACACCCCCAAATCGTACATATACAGGGCACTATATAGATGGTACTGTATGTGCAACCCATATATATATGGGCTCCGCAGGACAAGGGTTAAAACAAAATGTAACAATACAAATACAAGAAAATATAAATACTATACAATGCTATCTACAATAATGAAAAGTAGTAAATGAAAAGTAGTAAACAAGGAAACATAAACAAAAATTAGGAATGTGTGGGGTTATTCATGAAAGCTACTTTAGTATGATTTTTGAAAATATTTGTTTTTTTACACCACCAGGATGAAACCGACGAATCCAAACCCCTGAAGGTGAAACAGCTTCAGCGCTGCGGCTTCTGTAACCGACAGGAGCTGCCGGAAGCAAAGTTTCAGAAGTGTGCTCGGTGCAGGAAAACTCGCTACTGCAGCAAGGAGTGTCAACACCAGCACTGGAGGGGGGGACACAAGGATGAGTGTCAGGAGAAGAAAAGCAAAAAAACTGAAGAGTGAACTGAAAAGTCTTAAAGTTTAAGGATTAGGCTAATAGATTTTTTGGAGCAAAACAGAGGACTTTATATAAAAGAGCAAACAGAGAATCTTCATAGTCAAAAGCTTAGTAGTTTTTCTGGGTCAAAACATAGAAATCTTGAGTGTTAGGAGAAGAAAATTAAGAACTGAAGAGTCTTGAAAATCTTAGACTTAAAGTTTGAGGAATAAGGGGTGAATTTTATACGGGCAAAAAGCAGGACTCATAAAAGTGCAAATAGAGAATCTTTATAGTCAAAAGCTTAGTAGTTTTTCTGGATCAAAACATAGAAATCTTGAAGAAGGAAGATGAAAAAGAAATCTTGAAAGAAAACTGAAGCGTCTGAAATGAGGAAAAGGGGAATCTTAAGGATTAAGCTACTACTAATAATTTTTAGGAGCACATCACGGGACTCATAAAAGAGCAAATAGAGAATCTTTATAGTAAAAAAAAACCCAGAGTAATCTTTGAGGAAGAAACTAAGTTAAAAAGTAATAAGAGAAATCTTTAGAGGACTGGCCATAATCAGGACCAAAGCACAGGACTGTTTAAAAGAGCAAACAGAGCATAGCAACAAATGTAGTCTTTGAGGTGGGTGGGGGGGGTACTAGGGGGTCTTATAGTATGTTATACTATGTATATGAAGTACATGTAATTACATATCGGGAGAATTTTAAATTAAAGAGCAAAATATAGGACTGTCAAAAGAGCAAAATAATAAGAGGAATATCAAAGGACAAATACACAGTAATCTTGACAAGGAAATCAGATACAAGGTGTCTTGTGGATAATAGAGAAATCTCATAAGGAATAGCAAAATATATAGGGTAGTTACTGAAGTCTTCGAGAGCAATAACAGAAGAATCTTAAAGGTGCAAAACTGAGGGTACAAAATTAAGGAATCCACGTTAAAGGGTTTAGAACTTATTAACCGGGCACAGTATCATAATTAACCTTTTGCAGATAATATCATGCCTGCTTAGGAAGTTACCATGGTAACAGCCATCTTGTCCAGGGCATTGACCTTATATGTATTGTGTTAGGAAGGGAAGAAGAAATGGTAGAGACAATATGTTTTCCTTGTACATGTATGGTAAGTACAAATGCTATTGCTATAATTACATGTATTGCATTGTACATTAAGAACAGCATTGCTATGCCACAATGGAGACATTCATATACAGTATACATGTTAGAAGCATAGTTGGGTTAGTTTTAGTGTTAGTTGGTGATGTTCCAGCTATCATTAAGCCTGAGGTGTGTAGATTTGAAATTTTTGCTGCTGTTCAGTTTTTCAATCACTGGTGATCGGAGATATCTATAAATTGCAAGTTGGCGACGTTTTTTTTTCTTTATGAATGGTGAAAGAAAAATGACATTCCCAGGTTAGAAGTGGGTACTTTGTTTCATAATAAGACGTAATATATATTTAATTTATGATGTGCTGCATTAGTTAAGAACCTGAAATGGTTAATGGCTGTTAATATTTTTGTTGACATAATCGTTGAAATTTTTATTTGCTTTTGTTGTAACTCAAAGCAATTCCTAATGTAGGGATGTGTACAATGTATCTTTGTTTCTAAAACAGTCAAATGATATACTGTCATTTCTTTTTTCTTTAAATATAATCTCAAGGAAGTATGTGCTTAAAAAGCTGAAATTTAAGGTGGAAGGAAAGACAGACAACTGTGAAGTTGGATGTGTGCAGGTTTCATCACTAGTGTACATTTTTCAGTGAGTAAAGAGACTCTTTTTTACACAACCAAGTCTTTTATTGAGCCAACGTTTTGGTGACCGTCTGTCACCTTCCTCAGGGCAGTTCTGACTGGTTCACATTGCACTGCAGCACAGATGTCGCTGCTACATATGCATTCAGAACCAATCAGAATTGCCCTGAGACAGACGGTCACCGAAACATCGGCTGAATAAAAGACTTGGTTGTGTAAGAAGAGTTTCTTTACGCAGTGTCTCACCAACCTGATGAAACTATTCACGGAGTGTACATTTTCATTTTGTTTGTTTTAATTCAGGGTATAGAAAGTTTACGTTTAAGAAGTTTGACACAGTCATAAAGAAAGGCAGAGACAGAAAGAATTGAACGTAAATCTATGCATGAAGAAAATGGCATTTCAGATTTCTTATAGCAACGTACTGTGATTACGTGTTTTGTAAAGTATGATTTGAGTTTTGAAAAGCGGTTAGAAAGAAGAGCAGCATGGCCTGCTCAAAATGTGTTTTTAAACTTTTAGTTTCTGCAAGAAATCCTTGTTGAAGTTTTGGTTAAATTTTGTTTCTTTTACTTCTTAGTGCCTTAGATATGAAGTGAGAATATTAGTTGGTTGTTTGTATATAAGGATAGATAGTTATGATTGTGCCTTGTTAATGTTAGTTAGCATTACACTTCCAAGTTATGGTTAAAAAAAGATCAGACTTTTTTTTTTGCTGTGTAATTGCCCTCCACTGATGATGTGAAACATTGGGAAACTGTTACAATAAACATTAGCCTCCCAACACTGTTTGCAGATTATGCTTTATCCAGGGAACATGGTCCTTAGCATGTTGACCAGCTGCTCATCTTTAAATGTGTTGCCACTTCCACTGAAGCAACCCCCCCTTTCTTCCCCCTTTCACCACCTCTTAGGAGAAAGTTCCACGCTGAAAGCTTCTTTCCCAGAACAACATCACTATGGAATAAGCTACCCCATGATTGTTTCCCATATGGGTGTAACCTTAAACTTTTCAAGTCTAAGGTTAACAAACATCTGTCCTCACTGGCTGTTCTGTAACCCAAAACATTTGGGTGGCTCCCATGAGCCTTGTTTTGCGGTGACCTATGAAGTAAATAAAAAAACACAACGGAACAAAAAAAAAACAACTTTAGGCATGCTATGAAGTCAAACCCAGCACCTCTAGACTCTGGATTGATAAGCATAAATGCCACACAATGTCTTAAATTATTTTCCAAACAAAATCAACTCTGAAGTGACAAAGTTTCAAAAGACAACAACAAGACAAAAAAGTTCAGGAATAAATCACTTGTATTTCTGCACAATATCTTCTCTATATACAAACTGTTTCCCAGCAATACTTCCCAAAGAATATATCATGCCCCCTCTCCTGGTTAAAACATCATTTTTAAACATCATATTTTGATAAAATATTGTGACTTTACACTGTATGAAGTAAAAACAGCACCTTGGAATACATTGCTTCATAGTTCTGTATAAGGCTTAGTTTAGAATTCAGCTCCAGTTAAAACATTATGCAGCAAGTACATGTACATTCAAATATCCCATCTATATATAATGGTTTGCATACATTTGCATTTTGCAGCTTTTCTTGTATATTTTGTTGTGTTGCAGATTGTATATAATATATATCAGTTTTATTATTGCATGGAGCTTCTTTGCATGTGAAACTACACAATATAGTCTACTGCATCAATGCTCTTTATAGGCTAAGGAATAAAGTGTTAGCCTCTACCAGGCTTCGGGAGGCGGCTGGAAAGAGTAGAAATTGGTCAAATAGAGAGATAGCATGCCGGGGAGTTGGTCCGTTGAGAGAACAGTTCGCCGCTCCCGCTATTTGGCCAATTTCTACTCTTCCCAGCCACCTCCCGAAGCCTGGTAGAGGCTAATTAAGTGTGGGAATAGGCTGAATATCTCTATTGACATGTTTGAAATGAAAAGATTGAAATTTGACAGTCCAGAATTAACAAGTTACAATATTCAGTACCACCAGTCCAATACAAATAATATGGCTATTATAACAATGGAATGATTTTTATGGCATAAAAAGACATAATTTTCTCATGATCATTATTTTCAATATTACCCCAGCCCTTTTAACTTAATATTATTTTCACTGTACACACGTCACAACCTGACAAAGCTGTTCGCTAGCGAGCAATTAGCAATCCAACAAAACAATTTTCATAGTAAAATGTTGAACTTTATTCCAACACAAGGATTACACAAATTTTCAGCGACCACTGTCGCCTTCATCAGGATAACTAATGACCAATCACTTCTGAACGTGATCTCGCGAGAGTTACGGGTACAGACACGTGACCTTATTTACACGAGACTTAACAGATGTAACGTTGTAGGCATTCAGAAGTGATTGGTCATTAATTATCCTGATGAAGGCGTCAGTGGTCCTTGAAAATTTGATCTCTCTGTAGCTTTGTGTTGGAATAAAGTGACAAGACAGTGGTCTCTGTGTAACCAAGGAGGTATTAAACCCTTGTGTTGGAAAAAAGTTCAACATCTTACTATGATCACTACCAACACAGACGAACTTCTATGAAAGCGTTTCTGAGTTAACAGTCTGTGGTAGCAAAGTCATTCCACTCCTCTAGATCTAAGCCGGCTCGATTGGACGTCACGGGTAGATACGCTCTCACGACGGTCGTATCGTCAGCGTCGCTGTCCACCACGTAATTCAGCGCTCTCCCCGTGAGCATTCCCGAGCTCTGGTCAAAGTTCAACGTCCTACTAACACACGCCGCTGCGGCGGGCCCGTGGTTTCCATGGTTTCTGTTGCCAAGCGACTCGTGGAAGGTGACCGGCCGATCGCGGCCGCCAGGAAGGTTGTCGTACGTCTCCACCATGCAGTGTTCCGAAGACCTTCTCTGATGCAGTCTGCGAGGGTTTCGCGGTTCGGAACTATTGCTGGAGTTGTTGCCGTGAAAGTCCGTTCCCCCGGGAAGCGTTACCCCGGCAACGGTAACCCCGGCGACCGCGTCCACGGCGACAGTGTGACGTCGCTTGCGGTCCATGAGGCGGTGGGTTCCCTCCATGCGCTTCATGCGGAGAAGAGACTTTGGAGTGAGGGTCGGGTTACATATTTTGCTGGCGGCTTCTTTGATCACCTGCCGAAGCACCTTCATGAAGCCATTCTTAGCTTCTGGTGTGCTGGAAAGGACAGGAAAATCATCATTTACTAGCTTTTTGAGATATATATGATAGTAGTAATACTACTGCAGTGACTAGTGCAGTTACAGTACAGTACATGTACAATCAACAAAATGGACTATATATTAACAAAGTCTATATCTAGGGAAAGATAAAATAATGACATACTTTTCTTATTTAAATGTTCTTAATATGCTGTTATAATATCATAGCACCTAGGAATTCTACTAGGCATTCTCTTTGATGTTGCAAAGGTATTCTGCATCTATTTTGCTACAAACACGCATGATTTTTGGAAAACCAGAGACAGAAAAACCTTACCTATTGCAGAACTGGAAGACCTTTTCTGGCCGTCCGTCCTTGTGGGATTTACTGTGCACCAACTCCCACACACATCGCCCATAGGTGTCTGTGGGGACAACAAAAATGTTATCAAAAATTGAAGCTTTTGAGTATTTTTTCAACATCTTCTCAGCTTTCTTCACTGACTGTCTTGCTTCTAATAAAAAATGGACAGTGTCTACAACAAAATAATGCTAAGTATTGAGTATCAAAACGTCTATTCAAATGAAAAATTTGATGAGTTTACCAAAAAAGACAGAAAGTTAGCAAAGTTACAATTCAGCAGCTACATTCTGAATTGTGCACGTGCACAGAAACTGTATCATTCTCATTGAAATATAGCTTATAGTAACCTGTAACAGTAAATGTATCAGAAAACCTGCTACATTGTAACAGTCCTATTGTAGCGTACCGTTGGTGTTGCTGTTGCATTGTACAACATGTACAAAAATAGCTTTGCTGTTAGATTGCCACAATACAAACACTAGTACACAGCTACATGTACATGTATCAGAACATCTGCTACATTGTAACATTGAAACATTGTAACATTGTAACATTGAAACATCTCGATTGTAGCGTACCGTTGGTGTTGCTGTTGCGAATCTGCAGCTGTGTGACGGGAACCAGCCTCTTGAACAGGACGACTTCTCGCTCCCGATCCTCCAGAACTTCTCGGCCCTGTTTCCTGGTCAGGGTTAGTTTCCACTTGTGCCTCTGGTCTTCCTTACATACTAGTACCACGGCTCCCTTAAATACTGGATACAGAAAGAAAAACAATTATATACTGTACTTTCTTTGGCATAAAAGAATAACCAGGATTTGCTGGTACATAAATGTATATAGCCTGTTATAGCTCCTGAGTCCTAGGTCCTCTCCACTATTTGCCCTGAGCTATTTGCGGAGAGGATGTAGGACTCTACAGTCTATGGAGCTATAATAGGTTTGGTAACCAGGCTATAAATTTGCTGATAAATGCAGGATTCACCCTTCACAATTATGTAATTTTGTAATTACTAACTGTAAAATCACAAAAGATTAATGCATAATGTACAGTCTAACTACAGTTCCTCTTTTTTGTGTCAGGAAATCTTACCAAATATGGCCATTTCCGGCTCTGTTGTGTAGGAATTTCCAGGAAATCTTACCAAATATGGCCATTTCCGGCTCTGTTGTGTAGGAATTTCCATGAAATCTTACCAAATATGGCCATTTCCGGCTCTGTTGCGTAAGAATTTCCAGGAAATCTTACCAAATATGGCCATTTCTGCAATTCCTGTTGTGGAGGAACTTTCAGGAAATCTTCCAAATATGGCCACAATTTTCAGGAAATCTTACCGAATATGGCCATTTCTGGCTCGGTGCCCTTCTTGTGTTTGATGTCGTCAGAAGAGTTGAGCCACAGAGCGTTGGCAAACAGCTGCAGGTCACCCATCCTCAGATGAGACACCTGTGAAGGGAGGCAAACACATTCATGTATGATATCTGGTGACTAGCCCCTGCAACTCTGTGATGCTACATAATGTAACCCAACACCACAGAGTGTCTGCTACAGCACCAGGGCGTTGGCAAATAGCTGCAGGTCACCCATCCTCAGGTGGGACACCTGGCAAAACGGGGAAAAAACAAATGTTTTGTCTTCCCGCCACTTTTGATTTACTCCTGACGTCATCACGCTTCCGACTTCCAGAGAGTAAGCGAGTGGATCATACATCTGCGACTAACACGTAAGGTTGCAGAGATGAAAATCTATGGTGGATTCCTTTCTTGTGTGGAGCAAAGTTGAAACTCTACAGCATTTCAAGGGACTTAAACCAGTCATGGGGGCCCGCATGCCCTTTTCCGTGGAGCGTAATTGGCCGTAGAGCGTAGACGGACCGCTCTAATTCAACGTAGAGCGTAATTGCCACATTTTGCGTAGAGCGTATTCGCCGTTTTAATTCTACGTAATGCGTTGTAGCCACTTGGAATTTATTGTAAAGCGTAGAGCGTTGTCGGGACCCCCTCCCCCCCCATGCAGGCCCCCAGTTCTGACTGCGACTCTCACCTCCTTCTTGGCATGTGGCTGGTCCCTGATGAGAATGTCAAAAACGCCCCCATACTCCTCGAACAGGCGCTGCATCTCGTTGATGTGTTCTGCTACGGAAGTCATCCCCTTCAGGGCTTCTGTAAGACAACACAAGAAAGAACATCTTTAACACGTGCTACCGAAAAAGGAAAATGTTTTGAGTTAAAACTTTTGATCCAACACAAAAAAGTTTTCTCACCTAGATCTTTCGACCAGTCACTCTGGTCTTCCTCAGTAGACTGACCCAGTGAGACTTGTTACATGCCTTCTTTGAAGTGTGACGTCAACACTGGGTCAAAGGTCTCTGTGTTGACGTCACACTTCAAAGAAGCCACATGACAAGCTTCACTGGGTCAGTCTACTGAGGAAGACCAGAGTGACTAGGCTCTAGGTGAGAGAACATTTTGTGTTAGACCAAAAGTTTTAACTTTAAACATGTAACTACCAACACAGATGAGTCAGAGCTGCTAGCTGTTTGAGGAGCAGCGGGTACTTCATGATGCTAACCCCTAACCTTTGGCCTTATCATGACCCCTGACCTTGAACCTACTCTGACCCCTGACCTTACCTGATAGGTGGAAGTGCTCGTCTGACTCATGATTGGTCAGAGCTGCCAGTTTGAGGAGAAGCGGGTACTTCATGATGCTAACCCCTAACCTTTGACCTTATCCTGACCCCCGAACTTGACCCATGACCTTACCTGAGAGGTGGAAGTGCTCATCTGACTCCTGGTTGGTCAGCGCTGCCAGTTGTTTCAGCAGTAGTGGATACTTCATGATGCGCTGGATGGGTTTGATGAGGAAGGACTCCAGCGTGGCAGAGTGCTGGTGTTTCGGGTTCCTCGCCTCCAGGAAGGCACGGAACGCTGCGTTTCCCTTACCTGGGGGGGATAAGTTTATTTATTTCTTTTATTCACATGGATTCTTGAGCATTGGATAGGAAGCACTTGTTGTGCTTATGTAAATCCGCTGCTCATAAAACATAATACAAATGTCAAAGATGACATAAAGTATAACATATACATAAATTGAAGATGGCTGGCGCCCCTTGGGGGAAAAGTTTGATTGAAACCTTGTGACTTTATCTTCATTTATCTATATTGTGATAATATTCGTGTGCATTCAGGGTACCACTGTAAAGGACAAATTTGATTTAACTTTTGTGAATTCATCTTCATTTATGTACATTGTGATAATATTGGTGTACCACTGTGCAAAGTCACAGAGCTGGTCTACATGTTCATGTGCCCTGACTATACTAATAAAGAAAACAGATTGAAATGAATTAAGGCATAAATAATGAACAAAGAAATATCGACCAAAAATTTATGGTGAGTAGACTTTTTGTGTTGGGACAAAACTTGAACTCTACATAATGTATATAAGTACTATAAGATCTACTGATGAAAGATAATATGATTATCAAATATAAGCCAATAACAAAAAGGACAGAGATCCTACTGGCCACCACTTACCTGGGTCGAGAACTTTGATGGCTTTGGAATGGCTGGCACAGAAGGCGCTGTAGAGTTTGAAGTGGTCCACGTAATACAGGAACGCCCCGCTTATGGAGAACAGCGTTTTCTACACAAACAAACAAACAAACATATAAACATACAAAGTCAACAACAATTAGAGTCTTCTGAACCAAGTCCTATCAAATCATCGCAAAGTTACTGAGGCACAGTGAAAAAGTTAAAAGACTTCTCAATATTTATAACAAAATACTTGAATAACAAAAGTCCTTTACTGTGTTGCACATACATTGTACAATGTGGTTCAAACACACATGACCAAAAAGCATTTGGAGTTAAGTTTTTATTTACAACGTAATTATAGTTTTGTAAATTGTTGAGCCACCTTAAATTTTGCCATAATGTTTGTCATTTCTTGTCAGCAGGGCAAGTCATTTGTAATAGTCACAGGCTAGTTGGGCAGCCCTGGCTGTGAGGGTTGAACAGCCAAACCGATAAATAAATAAACATTTAATGAAGGTACAATTTTGTCTTACCCTAAACTTAGTGGGAGAGTCCACCGTGTGAAAGTCTGGTTCTATAGAAACGCTGTCCTCCAGAGCCTGAAGGAACTTCCTCTGGAACTGAACCAACTCCTCAATATTCCCAAACAGAGCCTCGATCTGTGGGGAGAGGGGGTGAGAGGGGTTAGAAACTTCCTCTGGAACTGAACCAACTCCTCAATATTCCCAAACAGAGCCTCAATCTGTGGGGAGAGGGTGTGAGAGGGGTTTATAGTAAAGCATGTACAAATAACAGTTATGAACTAAACCAGCCCCTCAATCCTCAATGTTCCCAAACAGAGCCTTGATCTGGAGTGAATTGATTGTTTTGTATATTGTAAATAATTGCTACTGTAACTGTATAATAGTCATGTGTGTCTTGTATGTTATGAAAAGTAAAGAGAAGGGGTGTGTGGGGTTTTGGAAAACAGGCTGTAGTGTACAACAACATTCAGGACATCATGATGATTAAATAGATAGACTAAATGATAAACTAGAAAGGCCGACATTTGCTTTGGAGCAAATACAGCGATGGGTTCACCACATTTTACCACATGGCAGGGAAAGAATGAGAAACACAAGGGAAAACAATGATTTACAGTAATTACATTGATATAACTATAATATGAAGTAACATACAACTAAAACAACAGTTGGATAGCTATTCCCTACTTTATTGGTTAGGATTTTTAATTGCATAATGCAAACTGTTGATTTTCAAAATAAAATAAAAAACGTTCATGCCCGCATTCCAATGCTGGAGCAGAAAAGCTTGAAATACCTACCAAAACACTTGAATACAGACATACTGTCAGTATGGAAATGCTCTGTGCGGGTGTTAATCAAGTTAAATCCCAACAGCCAATCAGCAAGAAGTATAGAGGAAAGCTGCATGCCTATTGGTTGATGCCCTGCATTCCATTGTGATGACTCATGCCCAGGCGTGGTAGACACGGCACACTAACACAGTAATACATTTGCTATAACACAGCCAAAAAACTCAAATAAAACCATTCTAAAAGCCTGTATCACAAAAATTTAAAAAACGCCTAGGGGTATTTGCCCACTGTACCTCCATACCAAATTTCAGGACCTTAGGCCCTAAAATGAAGAAGCTGAATCCATTTAAAGATATGGCAGGAGGAGGAGAAGGAGGAGAAGAAACATCAGAAAAAGCAATATGGGTTCACCACCACTTCGTGGTGTGGTGAACCCATAATAAGAATTGTTCTGACAACTCCTTACCTCATCTGGTGACAAGAAGGACTCGTTCTGTAGGGGATGCAGATATCTGTCCAGTAGGCACTCCATGTCCTGTAAACACAATATACATGTACATGGTTGACATTAATAAACACTACATCTTCACAAATGCATCTAATGCCTCACTATACATGTATGTATATGGTTTCATAAAAAAAAGATCAACTCTTGATGCTATACACGTCTTAATCATGGCCTGCCCCAAAGTCACCCTGCAAATATCCTCTTAATCTTATAAAAGAATCTTAAAAACAGATGCACTTTGACATTACGTTGCCATGAGGCCAAAATTCAACCACATATTATCTACAAGTACCGGTAAAAGTCACGTGAATCCAATGTTATTTGTAGTAGTCAATACAACCACAGAAACTCGTTTGTAAATTAATATTGACTTTAAAAGTTAAGATCATGGTGTAATAGCGAGTTTTGCCCTGACCTTGACGTAAGTCTTCTCAGTAGTGACCAGCTCCAGAATGACCTTCCTGAGTTTCTGGCAGTTGGACATCTCCTTGGAGACGCTGAATCTCCGTGGAGACGAGTTCCCTGAGTTCTGGTTTCTACGGCAGAGGTCAGTGACCTCATCTGCCCTCTGGTGCAAATAAACAAACAATCAATAGGAATTCAATTTGATTTATTGAAATTGTAACAATACAATAAACCTAGTACACAGGCACATAGAAACCAGGGACCTCTTGGTTCTGAGTCGAGCTCTCTGCCGTTACGCCACACGACCCCCACATCGATATGACACAGTCAAACAAAGTCCGGGAGCAAATTTTGGTATTTCAAGCCTTTAAAACATTATTTCCCACATTTTGAGAGACAAATCATGGGGATAAGAGTGGTTGTCAGTGGTCCTTTGGATGTTTTTATATTTTTACCCAAGATTTCTGTCAATTGTGTCCATCAAGATTGACGAATCAGTTTAAATTCTTCAGTCACATGCCACAAAGTTCCTGCAATCGACGGAAAAACGGGTGCTGGCTAACAACCCACCACACTTATCCATAACAACAGGTTCCCCATCTCTGGCCCTAAGACTGACCTGTAGCAGTGAGTCGACGTCCTGCCTGCCCTGTTGCCGTGGAGACTGTTCCCATGGCGACGGTTGCCCCTGGAGAGGCGAGGTCGGCAGGGAGTCACGTCGGGGGCTGAAGTCAAAGTCTGGGGGGACACGGATAAACAAAGGCTTAAACAAACAAACAAACTAGAAAGGTAACATTTCCAAAGCAAATGCATAATGTTTACCTTCACATATTCAATTCAATTCTTTATTAAGATATCAAACATAACAGACAAACATGACAGATAAAAGATAAAATGTCAAAAAATTATATATTTACAACAACTATAAAAACAGTACAGTTGGTGTACAACCCAGATATGGTCTGCTCTGTTAACCCTTGCTCAAACACATACATGTATATACATGTATGGTCAGACAGGAGTCTAAATCCCTCCTGCTATAAAACTGCAACATGATGTAACCCAACACCAGTTACCATGGTGACAGACGTCTGGTTCAGGTCACTGACCTTATTTGTTTGGAACGGAAGAAGAAGAAACAGAGCAAAAACAATATGTTTTTCTTTGGTAAACATAATAAGGAAATCACATACTACCCCACATTAGCACATTTGCATGAGTATCTAATACTTTAGGCATTTAAAACAGCGCAAAAACTTTGTGTTTGGAACAGAAGAAGAGGAAACAGAGCAAGAACAATATGTTTTCCTTCGGTGAACATAAAAAGAAAGTTGTGACAAGTTTAACCCCTCACCTGTGGGTGCCGGGATAATGAGGTCATCTAGGGTCGGATCCTCATATTCTGATTGGCTGGGAGGCGGCGGGCAGATCAGCTGATCGATCAGCAGGTCCGTGGTCCGCAGGTGCAGCGAGGCTACCTGAGGGGGGGGCAAGGTGGGCTTGTTAGGCTTTTTTTTCATTACAACATAAACATAAAAAGAAAGTTGAGACAAGTTAAACATTTAATGACAAGACATGAAGACATGGTGATGGCATGCTCAAGTTTTTCCATTACTTATTTCTATGCCCCTACCAACGCAGAGACAACTATTTTAGACAATACTTATTTTGACTTGAGTTAAGTGAGGAAAACCGTGTTAAGTGCATTTACAAAAACACTGCAGAAGCCTTGACTCCGAGCATTTGGCGTAACAACAGTCAGCATTCAGCTCAGAAGCAAGAGGTCCCGGGTTCGAATCCTGCCGGAGTCGTGCAAGGTGCCTCTCCCAAGGGCACAAGGTTTGTGCCCTTGGGAGAGGCACCTTGCACGACTTTCCTCATTTCACTCAGGTGAAAATGAGTATGCCAAAATGATCATTACATGTATCAGTGTCATGATTGTGGGCATTACAGAAAACCAAACCAAGAGGGAAGGAGACAGACAGTCAGACACTCCACCATGCAGTACCCCAACGACTCTGGCCTGGGTACAAGGTACAAACAAACAAACAAACAAACAAACAAACAAACCTGAGACTCAGGCCGGTTGGTGCGCAGGGTGAGAGTGAGTGCAGGTCCCTGCAGTAGACTCTCGATGTAGATCATGTCCAGATCGTACACTACTCTCCCATTAATAACCAGCACCTCATCTCCCGCCAACACATCTGGAAATACACAAAATTGACATAAATCTTTGGCAAAACTACCAAAACATTCTAAGGACCATCAACAGCCACTCTCAACCCTATAATTTGCCTCTCAAAATGTGGGTTTTTAGAGGCTTGAGAATCCAAAATTTGTCCCTGATTTGACACCTGGATATGGAGAGAAGCAATGACTTAAAGCATGACTATTTTAAGTGTTAATCTTGGAAAATTTTTTGGCAACTTTTCCTAACAATCCAACAATTATATACAACTCCCCCTAGACTGTGAGCATCATCCTCCCCCAGGTCCAATCATGAACCTGGGCTTATGAAGAAAGATTCCGAGCTGTCAATTTTGTCAAGGTTGGTTTAAAATTGTTTTCATCACACGCCACAAATTTCCTGCAATTGATGGGGGCCCGCATGCCCTTTTCCGTAGAGCGTAATCGGCCGTTTTAATTCTACGTAGAGCGTAGACGGACCGCTCGGCGCATTTTGCGTAGAGCGTATTCGCTGTTTTAATTTTACGTAATGCGTTGTGGCCACTTGGAATTTATCGTAAAGCGTAATCGAGAAGTTTCCGAATTCAGCGTTGTCGGGACCCCCCCTTGCAGGCCCCCATTGATGGAAAAATGGATGCAGAGTTATAAGAAGATGAGTTTGTTTGCACCTTTCTGGTGGGCGAGTCCTCCCCTCTCCACAGCTGATACAAACACCCTGAGCTCATCCTCCATCTCCCCATCTGCACCCAGCTCTGCATCCACTCGGAAACCTGCAAACATAAAAAAAACGAAACTTGTGATTAGCCCACTCGATTGTAACACTTTATCAAAGACTTGTGCTAGCCTGACTTAAGATAATATGTTAGGTTTTATTTGACATTCAACACATTTATTTTATTTTTTGTAACCTTCTTTATGACATTTGTAGTTTGCCGTACATTGTACCATGTGCAATTGTCGTGCAATAAAGTTCTTCTTCACAAGCATGCAGAATCACTTTTTGCAACATCAAGAATTTTTCTGCATTGCCATTGAACAAATTAAGTTTGATATTGTGTAGTATAATAAACGTCCTCTTGGATGAATGTACAGAGAAATTTATATCCCTTGCAGCCTTCGATAAACCAACTCTAACTAATCACACAGCCACCTTCATCTATGCAATTTTCAAGAAGCGAGAGGAAGTCAAAAGTACAATTGTGTATACTAGACATTTATGTATACATCTATTGTACTTATAAGACTGTCAACATGTAACCAGTGCTTAGTCCAGTGCGGCAAATATGTACAATAAACTAGGGTCTTTATTCAATATAACAGGGCAGTAACTTGCAGAAGGTAAAATTCAGAGAGTGGCACAAAGTTACAAAATAATCCTGCAGCTCACCGAAGCTCCCAGCTGGTTTCCTCTCCAGCTCCACTTGGTAGATACACTTTGGGGACACAACTACTTCTTCAAACACCTGGGGATGGATGGAAACAATGACTGTAACTATGACTGTCTTAAGTGCTGATCTTGGGAAGTTTTTTGTCAACTGTTTTCCCTAGAAATCCAACCATTTTAGGGACTGTACGATATTTACCGGGGGGGGAGGGCTGGTGCACTGGAGGGGAGGGCCATTGAAAACTTTTTTGGCCCGGGGGGAGGGCCATCGAAAAAAATATCTTAACCGAGGGGAGGGCCATCGAAAAAAAAAAAATCAGCCTTGGGGGGGAGGGCCACTGAAAAAGTTTTCCAAAATATGGCGTCGCGTAGTACCGAATTACAAGAAATACGCCGTAAATTCGAAATATAGTACGCACTTTTAAAAACTTTTCCGAATCCCAAAAGTGTCTCGGGCCGTCGCCAAAGTCGGGGTGCGAGGTTTTTGAGGTTTATTTGAGGTTTTCCCCCCGACAAATCCGTGGACGACCCAGGGATATATATAGCGGAACACCGGCACGGGGAACTTGGAACGACATCGATCGTCCATAGCATGTTTAGATAAGAATATCGACGAGTGGAAATAAAGTTGATCTTCAAATATGAACACAATTCCTCTGACTATCGTCGATATTTACACCAAGTTGTGGTAAAAAAGAAGTCAAGTCACCCACGGTAAGAAAATGTTGGTCACTAGCAATGACGCCCGGCCCTCCGTCATGCCGACTGGCCGTCCCCCAGCCAGCCGATGCCGATCTCAGTGGAACTCCGGCCGAAAATATAACCCCCCGTAAGTACATATAAAATTGTAAGAGGGTTTATGAGCGGTAATATTTGAAATGGTCCGCAAGCCGTGAAGTTTTTGATCGTCGTAAACAAAACGTAACGTGATAAAATAACAGTTGTGCCTCGACTGATGGTCAGTTCTAATGCACTTCCGGCTTGAGTTTAACTCAGAAAACTTCGACAAAGATTTTACCCCATGCCGTTTCAAAGGTTCAGTTGACAGATATTGTTATCCATGTTTCATTTCGTATCACAAATCTTTTTAAATCTTGATAAACGCCATGGGAAATTACTTTGTAGCGGACTATACCAGCCAGTACGACGTGAAAATGCCAGCTAGATGTACTCTCCCACCCGACTGTTCGGCGAGCTACAATGATATGGGCGGAGTTATCTTAAAATGTAGTCTTTGATGAAAGGCCGGTGGGTGGGGTGCTGAGCGCGCCGACAGGCAAAGTGCACCTACAGCTGAAGAACAAAGAGGGCCGTGGCAGCGCTGAGGACAGCTTTCCAGAACCTGGGCCCCGGGAAGGAAATCTTTCTTTCCTCTGAACAGAATGTACTTATAAGTTTTACGGAGTACAAAATAATTAACAAATGTGTTTATTCCTTAGAAGTGTAACGGGCGGCAAATTTTAAGGCAGCACCTCTACAGTAACATGAATACTCCGCCCAGTTCTCCGCCTCGATGATCGTTAATTAATTGCTCTCCATGGGTTGATCGGGCGGGTGCTATTTTAAGTGTTCGGTGCATTTCGTATACATGTAGTAAAAAAAACCCAGCAAAGCTACGTACTTGTACATCAACATTCAACTACCCCCCGCTACCGATGAAGTCAATATTGAAATACGGTATTTTTTCACGAATCTTTATTGACCATTGCTTGTTTGATCACCAACGTTCTCCGGGATCCAAAGCTGTACGTTTCGCCGCACTTGCCTTACCTTTCGATGCGGTGGTGACGTCTTGCAAGTCGGCTGCGGCCGGCGGTGAAAACAAGCCCGAACATGGAACGTTTCCCGCTACGTTACCATACAATCACGCAGTACACAGCATAAATCTAGTTTTTAACAATTTTAAAGCTGCAATTTTAAATTTGTTTGGAACGATGAACTGTCTTTAAGACCAGAGGTACCGGCCGTGCGTAGAAGGGGTGCGTACTTTTCCATCAGAGTTTTTCCATTTCAGACGGGAATATTTGTCTCCCATCAGCCCCAAATTGGGGGCGCGTACCTTTAATCGGGATGCGTACTTAATTTGGGAATTTACGGAGGGATAAAGAGACATCGAAAAATGGGGGGAGGGCCATCGAAAAATTTTTTGGGTGGGGGAGGGCCATCGAAAATTTTTTGGGGTGGGGGAGGGCCATCGAAAAAAATTTTGAGCCGGGGGGAGGGCCATTGAAAAAATTTTTTACCGGACCATTTTGCACCAGCCCTCCCCCCCGGTAAATATCGTACAGTCCCTTACACAATTTTATAATCAAAGCCCGGATATGTGTGTGGGTGAATGTGTCAAAACCTCTGCAGAACACATGGGATGTCGAATTGTTCAAAGTTAACTTCAAGTTGGAAGTTATACTTGACATTTGCAAAGATCCAAGGTTTTCAGTCAAATTCAGAGACAAATCTGCTATGGGAAACTTACCAAGTACAAATGTATGACTATTGATAGAACACTGGATGTTTTACTTGACAGTTTGATCAAGACTCAATGATACATGTAAATCTGTGCAGAATACTGACCAGGTTGTCCATGAGTATTTTCCTGTCTGGTGTGACCAGCTCCATACCGTCTGGGCCGTACTGTTTCAGCTGCAGGAAATGGTCCCGAGGGTCCACTCCACGCTTCTGTTACACACGCAGAAATATGGTCATATTCAATATAAACTCAATCCTTCAACAAAGGGAGACCCGCATGTCCTTTTCTGTAGAGCACAATCGGTCGTTTTAATTCTACGTAGAGCGAAGACAGACCGCTCTAATTCAACGTAGAGCGTAACTGGCGCATTTTGCGTAGAGCGTATTCGCCATTTTACTTGTATGTAATGCGTTGTAGCCACTTGGAATTTATCGTAAAGCGTAATCGAGAGGTTCCGAATTCAATGTAGAGCGTTGTCGGGACCCCCCATGCAGGCCCTCACAAAGGGATGAGTTATACAATCATGTACAAATACATGTACGTTTATGTCATGTTCTGTACTGTTTCAGCTGCATGAAATGGTCCGAAGGATCCACTCCATGTTTCTGTTACACACGCAGAAATATGGTCATATTTAATATAAGCTAATGAACTGGTGGATATACCAAGTTAAAGAGGCATTGTTATACTTGAAGAAACACAAACACAAAGGCAAAGAGTAAAAACATTCACCAAATGAGTTTCGTTATGGTTAACACTTGTGAGTTGAGCAATATAAAAGAGAAGTTAAGGGGTTGTGTAAAAGAGTGTACAGAGAGCCAAAAGTCACACATAAGACTTAGTATGGAAGGATGATATTAGTGTAACATGACACCAGTTATCTCCAAGCAGATGTGGCTTGATGTAATTTTTCTTTTAGAAAATGGTGTTTAAGAGCTTTTGTGTTTACTACAAATTGCCTGTAAAATGTTTACCAACTTGCAGTTTTGTATATGCCATGGGTTTAGATCCAGACTTATGCGTGTATTTGCAGAAAATATTTCCGAATTCCAAAACAAAATTTTGACATTCTGCTATATTGCAGAACACTGAAAAAAAGTATTTCTTCCACTGATTACACCCTCCATCTGCTTGGAGCGGTGTGTGTTAGTTTCCACCACCACTCACCAGACATGCGATGGTTAGAACGTCCTGCACCGCCATCCAGGACTGCACCGTAACCATGGTTACGTGGTCGCTAGGCAGCCCCACCCGGATACAGCGCACCCCCAGCCTGTCTAACAACAGGGCGCCGCTCGGGGTGGGAGGTCGACTTACGTCTGCTATGCCCTGTTGGGGGGGGGGACGTTTGGTTGGTTTACACCGGTGACAATGAAGGTTAGACAGCAACAAAATGATATATGCATGCAAGACAATGGAGAAAGACAATTTTATCCACAGTTATAATGATTCTGACAGACTGTAGTGAGTACATTTAAAATAACATGAACACAACAGTACATTAGGGAGCCAGGAAATGGCATTTTCCTGTATTTTTGAGAGGATTTGAAAGAAAAAATCAGATATAACTTTTTATTCAATGACAAAGTGAGCAGTTTTCTACAATTCCAGCCCCGCTGGTGATACGAATCAGTCCATCTTTTAAAGAAAAATTTTTGACCTCTAGATAAAAAGTGGACCTTTGAGCCTTTGGG